ACTGTGTGTGTGTGTGTGTGTGTGTGTGTGTGTGTGTGTGTGTGTGTGTGTGTGTGTTAGAGTGATGGGCAAGGGTAGCCAAAGTGCAACCAATGCTAAACCTGAGTGCAATCAAACTTTGATCATAGGAACCTACTGTTAGTCAGGTGGTGTTTGTTATGAAGCATAACCTAGCAAAAGTTTACCAACACAGAAAATGGTACTTAGAAGTAGTAGGCCACCAAAGCAAATGTGTGGCATGGGCTCTAGGGGACAGACAATAGATAACAAGGAGACACTTACTGAAGGCAGTAAAGTTGATAGTCTGTGTTACACAGCAAGAAATACTCAATAAAACTCCTGGCTATGAGAATTTCAAAGCTGGGGCTAGAGATATGGCTCAGTGATTAAAAGCACTGGCTGTTCTTCCAGAGAATCCAGATTCAACTCCCAGAACCACATGGCAGCTCATACCTGTCTGTAACTACAATTCCAGGGCTTCTGACATCCTCACAAACATACATGCAGGCTAAACACCAATGAACATAGAATAAAAATAAATTATAAACACACACACACACACACACACACACACACACACACACACACACACACACACGCAAAGCAAATAAGCAAACAAAACCTGGGCATGGGAGGTGGGGGCAGGAAGATCAGAAGTTCAAGGCCTTCTCTGGCTAAATAATTCAAGACTAGCTAGCCTAGGCTGAATGAGATCTCAAACAGAACAGGCCTGAGGGTGCATCTCAGTTGGGAAAGTGCTTATCTAGCATCCACAAAGCCCTGGGTTCAGTTCCCAGTGCCACATAGACCAGGTTGTTGGATGACACTGTGATCTCAACACTTGAGAGATAGAGGCAGGTAAAGCCACCCAAGACAATCAACAAATTCCCAGCTACATGAGACAGTGTCTCAGAAGGAAGGGAGGGAGGAGGGAGGGACCGCAAAGCTGATGGTCTTCTGTGGCTTTAGCTGAAGAGATTGAGGTAATGAAATGGCTGACACACTTGGTCACTTTTTATCACGTTTCGTTATTTGGGATTCAATCCATAGAATGCATACACTGATGCCCTTAGCCCCATCACATCACCAAATGACTGAATTTGGAGGCAATGTAGCCTTTTATGACCACAGTGAGCTCATGGACCAGGCTCTTATATGATCCTTAGAAGAGAAACTGGGACACAGGGAAAGCTGTGGACAGCGGTCTTCACAGTCTACAAGCCAAGGGGCGGGGTCCAGGCAGACCTTTCCTCCTGAGAGGGACACTGATCTGCTGACCCTTGATCTTAACTTCCCAGATCCCAGAAATAAGTGTCTCTGTGGAGCTGTGGTGTGTGGGGTTGATTGATGTTTAGCAGGCTGCATCTCAGAGGGCCCTGGGAGGAGGAGAGGGCATATGGCTCCTGAGGAGGTAGCCTGCTTGCAAGCCAAGAGGAGGTGCAGAAATTCTACATTTTCAGAGTTGAAAGTGCATCTGGTGCTTACACCTGCCCAGTGAAAGAGGGTGGAGCAGTTCAGTGGGTGGAGCACTCGCTAGCCTGCATGAAATCCTGAGTTCCAGCCCCAGAGCTGTGCAGACAGGACATGGTAAGTGCCTATAATCCAGCACTGGGAGAGTAGAGGTAGAAGGACTCGAGTTCAAGTTCAACCTCGCTATACAGTGTGCTCAAGGTCAGCCTGCACTAAGTGACGATCCCAGCAGCCAGTGTCCAGAGGACCAAGCCCATGGTGCATTCAGAGACAACCCCAAGAGCATGATGACCTGGTGCCAACCTCTAGCTGGGAGCAGCTGGGGCAGGTCCCACCCTGCCAGTCCGACAACTCACCTGCTCCCACCAGAGTGAGAAGCCAGGGCCAGGCCTGGAGCTTGGCCATTTTCTGAGAGCAGAAGGACAGACACAGTCCTGGCCCCTCTGGCAGTGAACTGCGTCTACAAAATCCAAGTGACAAATGACATTTTAGTAAGACTCCTGACATATCTGTGCTTGGAACACATGACATGATCTTGGAGCAGATAGGAGTTTTAATTTTAACTTCATCTGTGTCCCCAAAAATGCATTGTTGGAGAAGCCCAATCGTGAATTTTAAACTATCTATAGAGGCTTTTCAAAGCTGTCCATAAAGCCAGTCAATAAAGAACATTCTAGACCAGAGAAACAACAGGACAAAGACATACTCAGTGTGAGTTCAGTCAGCACTCTCTCTGAGGTAGAGGTCCTGCCTGATATGGTCACCACACTCTTTGTTGAGGTTGATGTGTCTAGGTGTCACCTGCCTGTTATCCCAGGCTTCGTCAAGAGGATCCCACTCAGGAGTAGCCTGGGCTAAAGAGTGAGACTTAGACAATGAAACCACCAGGGATTGGAATGGAGCTCAGAAGTACAGCACCTTTCTGCCCCTGAGTTCCTCTCCAACACTGCAATAAACAAACAATCAGTACACAAATAAGTAATGAAATAATATTACCAATAAAGCAGGAAGGCAAAGCACTGAGGGACTCAGAGCCTCCCAGACTAAATCTGGAGGGGTAATTCCTGAAACATGGGGGGGGGGGGTGAGGGGGTGTGTGAGAAGAAGCTAACAGGTTGCTCAGCACTTGGGAGGCAGAGGCAGGTGGATCTCTGTGAGTTCAAGGTCAGCCTGGTCTACAAAGAGAGAGAGAGCATGCGCGAGTTCCAGGACAGCCAGGGCTACATAATAAAACCTTGTCTCAAAATGAAAGTGTTCAAGGTTATCCTCAGCTAGATATGGAGTTGGACTCATAAAGGGGCAATATTCCCTGTTTTAGTGGGGAACTTAGAGGGGGGCATTAATTTCCTTCCACATTTATTGCTGGCCCAGTGTGATTGGACAGCTATGGCCGCCAGAAATAATACCACAGACTGAACGCTTAGACCATCTCTTCCGGTTCCAGAGGCTGGAAGAGCAGGATCAAGGTGTCACCAAAGCGAGGTTCTGTGTTTTTGTCTTTTGAGAAAAGGTCTCACTAAATAGCCTTGGTTTCCTGGAACTCACTGTGTAGACCAGGCTAGCCTCAAACTCACAGAGATCCGTCTCTGTGCAGGGATTAAAGGTGTGCCTACCACACCCAGCAGGTGAATTCCCTTTAAGATCTTCTTTCCTTCCTTCCTTCCTTCCTTCCTTCCTTCCTTCCTTCCTTCCTTCCTTCCTTCCTTCCTTCCCTTCTTCTTCCTCCCCATCCCCCCCTTCTGTTTATTTCCTTTTAGGTGTATGAGTGCTTGCCTACATGTTTATCTGTGTGCCATGAGCATGCCTGGTACCCTAAGAGGCCAGAGAAGAACATTGGATCCCCTGGAACTGGAGTTACCCACAGTTGTGAGCCTCCATGTGCATGCTGGGAACTGAATCTAAGTCCTCTGCAAGAGCAGAAAATGGAATTGGGGATTTAGCTTAGTGGTAGATGTTTGCCTAACAAACTCAATGCCCTGGGATTGGTCTTCTGCCGCAGGAACGAAGGAAAGAAGGAAGAAGGAGAGAGGGAAGAAAGGAAGAAAGGAAGGAAAGGAGGGAGGGAGGGAGGGAGGGAGGAAAGGAGGAAGAAAATTGTCAGCCAGTACTCTTAACCAGAGTCATCTCTCCAGTTCCTCTCTCTTTTTGTTCCATGGGACAGGGTCTCATGCAGCCCAGACTGGCTTCAAACTAACTATGCAGCCAAGGCTGACCCTGAATTCCTGATCCTCCTTCCTCAACTTCCAGCCCCCAAGTGCTGGGATGGCAGGCATGAACCAGCATGCCAAGCTGGCAGGGTAGGTCTCTTCTGAGACCTCTTCGGTTGTCTGAGGCTGAGGTCTTCCACTCCACACCTTATTTTTTTGAGGCAGGGTCTCTCCTTGAACCTGGAGCTCACCAGTTTGGCTAGACTGGCTGGCCCTTGAGCTCTGGGAATCCTCCTGACTCCACCTTCTGGGTGTGCACCAGGACAGCTTGCTTCTTATGTGGGAACTGGGGATCTGAAGGCAGGTCCTCAAGCTTGCGCAGTAAGAACTCTACCAACTAAGCCCTCCTGGTCCCTCCTCTTTTTATAAGCACATCCTAGATTCGGGTCCAGCTCAGCATCTTGGTTTTAACTCACCTTGTCAGAAGTCTCGTCTCCCACCAGGCTACAGCCTGAGGTGCTGATGGGTGGGCCCCAGTGCCTTGCCCCAGCAAGCCGAGACCACAAATCTCCCTGCTGCCATTCTCATGTCTCTCATCAAGACAGGTGTCACTAGGGTCCTTTGCTGGGTGTTGTTTACTGAGTGGCTCGGCTGCTGGTCCCCACAGGCGGACTTCATGCATCTGTCCCTCTCATGCCTCATCTCTGGCATCTGTCTTGTTCCAAGTGGCTCTCCTGGCTTGCACACAGGTGACATGTTTCTAGAAGTGGCTAGCTCCAAGGGGAGAAACACTCTGAGCTGTGGAGATGCCCATGGCACAGCTCCTGCCGCATCCTCTGTTCAGAACCAGCTCCAGGCCGGCTCAGATCAAAGGAGGAGGAGCCCCACGTCTGGATGAGGGGATGACAAAGAGTTTGTGGCCATCTTTAACCCACCATGAGAGAGGTGTTGCTATTGGCAACCAAGATGGCAGATGGCAAGTAGGTTGGTCATTGTTCCTATCTGCTGTGATGAGACTTATCCAGGCCTGTCCTGTCTCCATGTGGCGAGCTGAGTTCCCCCTGCCTCACCCAGACACCCCGACATCAGCCATAGCCTGTGATGTGCCAATGAAGCTCCCCTGGAGACAGCAGGCTGCTGAGCAGCTTCAAGAGCCTGCATGTGGGGAGGGCAGTCCAGGCAGTCCACTCTGCTTTTGCTCTGCCAAGAACAGCACGTTCCAGAGACACGCCCTCCGTTCCCTGGAACTCACACCCAGGAGGCACAGCATCTAAGCCTCACTCCATTCTCTAGCTTCCACAGGCCTTCAGCCTGTTCCATTGTTCTGCAAGAAACACCTGGCAAGTTAGGTGTTGTCCATTCTTCCTTATGGTCGGGGGACCTTGGGAGTCCCCACAAGCCCCTGTTGGGCTCAAGCATCAAGCTTGCCTAGTGCAAGTCAGGGAGCGGCTGTCTGCAGGTGGGCAGGTTGTCTGTAAAATTCCTGACGTCTGGGAGCATTGTGGCTCGGAGAGGCTAAGTAACTTGCCCGAGGCCCACTCCAGCAGTAAGTGGGAGAGTCAGGACTTGAACCCAAGAATGCCTCGTGCCCAAACCCTTAACCACTGGGCTCCCACACCCCTCACCAGTAGGTGGCAGGTATTCGTAAGCTGACACATGACATGTCCCATGAGCCTTAGGAAAGCCACCAAGGTCTGGGTGTAGTCCCAGAGGCCCCAGTCTCTGGATGCACTAAAGTCATAGAAACTGAAGGGACAGGAGAACACAGCACCTGGAACTCACCCCATCCTGTCCCTGTCTCCCTAGCCCTTGGAGGAAAACTGGATGGGTCAGACTGGAGGCATGCTCAGTAGGTGAGATACTCCTTGTGTAGGTCTGAAGAGTTGAGTTCAGATCCCCAGCAGGCAGGTGTGGTGCAGCAGGGCACTGTAACCCCGGCACTGGGAGACAGAGGCTAGAGAGGAGGATTTTTGTGGCCAACTGACCATGCAGTCTACCCATGATCCAGGTTTAGTGAGAGACTGTGTCTCAAAAAATAATGTGGTGAGACTGGAGAGCTGGCTCAGCGGTTAAGAGCGTTTGCTGTTCTTGAAGAGGGCCTGGGTTTGGTTCCTAGCACATGACTGCACAAGCATCCCTAACTCCAGTTCCAGGGGATCTGACACTTCGGATGCCATTCTGACCTCTGTGGGTGCTGCACACACGTGGTGCTCAGACATACATCCAGGCGAAACACTCATTCATACACATCACATTTTTTTGTTTTAAATATATATATATACACTTATTTATCTCATTTTTTTAATGCCAAATGCCATTTATTGAAGGAGGGAGGAGGTCTTAAATACAGGCTTACAGCACAATGGGAGAACCCCGGAGGGCAGAAGTTCCCTACAATGTTTTACAATCTTTCATCTAAGTTGTTAACGCCCATTATGCAGGATACACAGACAAGGAACTTCCCTTTAGCATTCAGGAAGGTGGAACCTGGGAGGGAATTAGCATAGGGAAGGATATCAAGGTCAAGTTAGGCAAGCAAGGCAACAGTTACCCAAAACGGGGCCCAGGGACCTCATTCACATCACATTTTTTTTTAAAAGATTTATTTATTTATTATGTATACAGAAGAGGGTGCCAGATCTCATTACAGATGGTTGTAAGCCACTATGTAGTTGCTGGGAATTGAACCCCTGTCCTCTGGAAGAACAGTCGGTGCTCTTAACCACTGAGCCATCTCTCCAGCCCTCACATCACATTTTTAAAGGTAAATATTTAATAAAATTTGGCAAGAGGAAGATCCCCCACTATCAGCCTCTGGTCTCCACACACACAAGCACTCACATGTGCACCCACATTGACACACACATGAGAAGACAATCATGCACACACGTACCCATCTAAAGACACGCATGTACTGTACACACACAGAAGATGTGCACCTGGCCACTTCCTTCAGAATCTTTTATAAATGTGTCATTTCATCCAGGAGGGGGAAGAGGGCAGAAGAGCTACTATTCTTCCCATTTTGCTAGTGGGGAAACTGAGGCACCAAATAAGCAAAGTCCATGTCTCTTGAACATGGTTTCTGGCTGGGGACTCAGTGGCAGTGGGCTTCCTAGCATACAGGAGATTCTGGATTTCACTCTTGGCACAATAAATAGTAAATAAATAAATAAATAATAAATAAGTAGCATTTCCTAATTTCCAGGAGTGAGATGTAGAGGGAAGGTCATACGGTTTGAGACATGGTCTCTTGTAGTCTACACTGGGATGGAACTCACTATACAGTGTGCCTCACACCCAGCTTCAGTGCTGTGTAACAGTCACAATGGCAGGTAGGCAGAGACGCGTATGTGCACTAGCTTCTAAGTGTGACGTTTCCATCCCTACACCAACATTGTCACACCAACAAGCAGTTCACAGAGCATTGCCAGTCTCTGCCCCGGGGATTTGGGACGCCCACCCCTTACTGTGGCACACACACTGTAAGGATGGCTCTGAGCTCTGCATTCAACTGTGGCTGGAGGGCCAGGACAGAAGACAATTGGCCCCTCTGAAAGTGTCATCCAGGAGACAGAGCACTGAAGTGGTGAGTTGACTCCATGGAGCAGATCTCTACAACACTGCCCAGCACTACAAACACAGAGTGGTGACTCATACCTGTAATCCCAGCACTCTGCAGTGGAGGCAGGGGGATCAGGGGCCAGACTGAGCTGCATGAGACCATCTGCCCATCCCTCAAAACCCCATGAAAGAGCACAAGCTGCCTTGCAGTGGTCATGGGCTCCCTTGATGGAATAAATACACAATGCCTGCTGTTTGCCTGCCTCACCAATCAGCTTGGAAGGGGCCACATGGGCCAAGACAGGATGTGTAGGACCCTACCCAGGGGGCAATGGGGAGCAAAGCTGTCAAAGCTGGATTTCAGAAGGACTCCTCCATGTATGTGGTCTGTGGGGGTTCAGGCATGTAGGCTTGGGAAGATGTCACTAGACGTCTGGGTCATAATCCCCTGTCCTCCCCCACTGGAGTGGGAAGCAGGAGATGGCTTTCTTTTCCTAATCTGTCAGCTACCCCTCTCCATCATGAAGCCAGGCATAGCTCTGGATCTGAAAGAGTCACAGGTAGCTTCTGCATGGACCACTCAAGCCCCCTGACAGTTCTCGGGGTGTCTGAGCCTTCGGTGTCCAGCAGATCCAGGCTGCAGCCCCGCAGACACCAGCCTGGGGTCCCACAGAGGACAGAGGCAGCTTGCTTCCATGTTCCTATGCATATGGCGCGGCTTGGCCTGCCTTCTGCCCTGTCTACCCCCGGCCTTGGGGCAGAGCATGGGAGCTGTGGCCTCCAACCAGCTCACTCCCGCTGTCCCTTCGCAGCGCCTGCATCATCTCTGGGGCTGCTGCAGCTCTCTGTTCAAGGTCAAGGAACAAGCAGATAAACCCTTTCCTTGGAGCCGGAGGAGAGACAGCTTCCAGCTTCAATCCAATTCTGAGTCAGGGCCAGGGAATAATTCCTGAGAATGTGGGGACCGGAAGGAGATTCTTGCGGCCATAAAATGAGTGAAAATGTTTTGTAGGCAGAAAAAGAAGCCAAGCAGCTGGCTTTGGTTTAGGGCACAAATACCGAATAGAAGTGGCCAGATCTGGGCAGAGAAGGTCTAGGGTGGGAAGCTAGAATGTTCTTGTAGCTGTAGTGATATCCCCCACACACACCCCGGGGACCTGGGATTGCAACCGGGCTCCTGGGGACGCGACATATGAGGGCCTAAGTGGGGGCAGGGGGTGGAGGGTGAGCAGGGAGTTGGAGACTCTGGAATTTTCTAGGCTTTTGGCCAAGATAACCCAGCAGTTCAGCTGGGACTGGGACTGTGGATTTACTATGGAAAGCCATGAACTTGATGGACCCTTCCTTACAGGAGCCCAGAGATGTCAACCACTGGCCAGCTTGGGAGGGGCCACACAGGCCAAGACGGGATGTGTAGGACCCTACCCAGAGGGCAATGGGGAGCACAGCTATCAAAGTTGGATTTCAGAAGGACTCCTCCTTGTATGTGGTCTGTGGGGGTTCAGGCATAGAGGTTTGGGAAGGGCAGGGGGACGGTCTGCTACACCATCCGAGTCCAGAGGCTAAGCAGGGAGCAGTGGTGGGCAGACCAACGCATGATGGAGGCCACAGGTGCAATGATGCTGGACATATGGGGCTGCTGGAGCGAGGAGACAAAGATGATGATGCCCAACTCTCTCTCTCTCTCTCTCTCTCTCTCTCTCTCTCTCTCTCTCTCTCTCTCTCTTGAGCCTTGGGTACTATATTGGTCAGGACACCTGCGTGAAGGTACAGCTAAAACCCACATCCACATACACAAATCAAAGCCTACACAGGACCTGTGAGGTTCAGGTCTATGTGTGTGTGTTGGGGGGAGTCCTGCAAGAGCAGAACGGTACCTATTTGGAGGGTGGGTGTCAGGCAGCTGAAAGCCTGGCCCTTGGCCTTCTGTAGAGTTCCAGGACATTGATTTTAGTCTCTAAGAGCACCCAGCCTCTCACACTGACCTGGGTGTCTCCTAGCTTGACTAACTCCCACACTGGGGTGGAATGGCTTTCCTGCTCTGAGAAGTACTCTTCTCAGAGAAGGCTCTCGATGTGTGGGTATTTGGATGGTGGGGGAAAGGCTAGGCTCTGTGGGTGAGTGAACAAGGGTTGAGAAGACAATTGGATATGTGGCTAGATGCATGGATATGTGTGGGCAGAAGAGCATATGTGTGATCCAGCAGGTAGAAGGGTAGGAGGGAGCCTGGATGGATGAACGAGTGGCTGGGTGAACAGTGGAGGCAGTGGATGGTGTGGGGATGGGCAGATTTTGAAAAGGAAGGGGCAGGGGCAGGATGAGCCACAGCACTGAAAATTTTGTTGACAGCCAGTAGTCCCTGAGGCAGAAGTAAAGTTGGCTACCCTATGTTGACCCTCCCTCTGGTTCCTCAGTTTCCCCCAGAGCTCCCCTTCCCTACTTCTGGGGAGCCCTGCTTTGGGTACCTCACACCAGGACTTCCTTCCCTTTGTGTGGAGCAAAATTCTTCACCCTGGGCTTGGATTTTGGCTGAGAAGCCTGATTATTTGCCAGGACCT